TAGATGTTGAGTCTAAAGTGGATCACAGCTTAGTCTCGGATCTTCGTCCTTGAAAATGATGCCCCTCAAGCGTTCTATAACCTAACTCTGTTATTACCCTGGCGGTGCTGAAGTCAGTGTGTCTCTCCTTGATGATTAGTGATGGAATGATTATAGATAATACTCTACTGTTGGATTACTCCTAAAATCAGTGGATCATCGTTTCAGTCTCGAATGTTGCACGATCTTCGAGCAGGTCTCATTCTTGCACTTTGAACTTCTTTTAGCCATCATTGCATATATGTGTATGTGTCTGCTTGATTGAAAAAATTTACCTCTTATTGTGAAATTTTTTTCTCAAATATCCCCTTGCGGATCAACACTTTCGTATTATGTTATATTAATGAAATGCGATGCAAAAAATTATGAAAAAGAACATAAATAAATTACTACGGGAAAGGTAATCAATAAGATTAAAATATGCTATATAAATAAATACAACACCTACCCAATCATGATATCTACCCAAACATGCTTTTATTAAATAACATTCCTATATGGACATGCTTTTATTAAATAACATTCCTATCTGGACATGCTTTCTACCAAAAAATGATTAATTTCAAGAAAATAACCCTAACCGCATGGTATCTAGTTCGAATGCTTTTATTCGACAAAATTTAAAACAAAAGGTAAAGGTTTAGAAACACTCATCCTTTGTGTACACTTATTTTTGGGTACCTACTGGCGGACAGAGGTTCGGTATGACTATACCTAGGGTGATCGTTCTACGGTTCACTATATGCATGGTTTCGGCTCTAACAGGAAAGGGTACTCAAATTGTCCTTGATGTCAGTGCCCCTTTGGGCTACCAAACCCTCGATCCTCACCCATTACAGGTTTCAAACGGAACGAGTTCAATTACAGGGGATTCACTTCCTTGTACCCATACGAGGAATAAATCCCTACGAAGGTATAAGGCATGTATCCCAAGGGTTATTTGCTAAAACTCATACGAAGAATAAATTCTTACGAGAGTAAAGCATTCACCCCGACTTATTTGGATCGAAGCTCGGGTATAGAGCTTATGTTATGCAAGTGAACGTGTTGTGTGTGAGGAGGAGCGTACAAACCTTTGACTCAAAAGAAGCAGAAAAGTAAAAACTCTCAATAAAACTTGGATAGAGTTGAAAGAAAAAAATTAAAACGTTAGTATGACAATTAAGAATAAAGAATTTAAAAACTCCAATAAACAGATCATAAGTTAACTAAAGACTCGAACTCATAATTTCCACCACAATGACAATGTGTAAGAGACTTACAGCCTGACTCTCTAAAAAAGGGTTCACAGCGGAGTCGCCAAACTGTCATAACCATTTTTTAAAAACAATTAAATATTATTTTAAAACCGATTATGATTTTATTTTGAAAATTTGGTGAATTTGAATTGATTTGAAAATTTTAAATTGGAGTCGCCATCGACCTTTGGGTTAGGTAGGTCGAATACCTAAAACCCGACTTTAAAAGAATTTTAAGGAAATTCATTTTTAAGACAAAAATTGGTCTGCGTTTACCAAAAATCCGATTTAACGAGTCTGGGATTTGATTACTCATGGGGAAATATTAGAACCCCCACACCGTCTAAAAATTGGTACTTAATCGCTTACACATCGTCGTAATGTGGAAATGATTAATCGAATTGATATTTAAAGTAAGATCCATTTATTGAAGTTTAATTAATTTACTTTGAATTAATTATTTAAAGAAAATCCTCTTACTCGATAAGAAATCTTGAAATTTGCAATCCTCCGTCGGTAAAGCTATCTCAAATATTTCTCATTCGTAAAAGAATAATCTATCTTCGAATAAAGTGCTTATAGAATATAAACTGAAAATTGAAATTTGCGTAAAATAACGTAAATTGCCCTTAAAAGAAAAAATGCATCATTTGAATTAAAACAATTAATTAGCACTAAAAATAACTTTAACTCATTTCAAGCTCTCATTTTGTTCGAACGTTGTATTGGATAGCAACACTTCGATTAAGTGATACTTTCCAAGCTCGTTCTACAAATGCAATTCTTGAAAATATTCGAGTAATATTAATGGTTAAGGAAATAGAAACAAATATGATTGGAGACGTGTTAAATAAAATATTTACAATAAGTAGACTTAAGAATATTTATTTACATATGATACAAATGAATACATAACATATAAAATATGTACATACATAAGGGATTGAAATAAAAACAAATGAATATTACAAACCAAAATATAATGACCAAAAAGTAAGTATTTTTAATTTCAAGGACCAGAATGGGAAAAATAGAAACTTGAAGGAGTTAAACAGTAATTAAAAACAACCCAGAGCCAAGATCGAAAATATTAAATAATACAGGTACTGAAAATGAAAATAAACTAGAAACATTTAGGATCAAATAAAAATTAATCCTAAATTCAACAATATTAAACAGTGACCAAAATGAAACATGCATAAATCACAGGGTCATATTCAAATATCAGCAAAAACACACAAAACATGAAATCAGTGACTAAAATGAAATAACTACAAATATTGTGACCAAAGTCCAATCTTAAAAAAATAACATAACATATAATAGCAGAACTAAAACATAAGTACTGAAAAATAAATGCTCGAAATCAAATAAAGAAGAACTTCATTAACTGACTTTATAATGAGATTATAAATATAGGGGCCTAAACTGTGATTTACCCTAAAAAACTAAAAAAAGGTAAGATTTACAAAAGGCAGGGACCAAACATGCTATTAGTCCCAAACTAGAAAACACGCCGAATATTCCCCTTTAAAACTATGTCATTTCAGTCTTAGTATAAAAGGCCACGGCTAAAATTAGGTCAAAATATCATTTGGTCCTTTTTTACCGAGGGAGGAGAGAGAGAGTTTCCAAAACTCCCTCAACGAGGAAGGGAAATTTTGCTGCCAGCCACCGTGGGCGGCGGCTGGAGAAGGAGAAACACCCCCATAATGCTCCTCTCACCTTCCTAAACGGCAATCTAAAGTTGCCATCTCTAAAGACCGAACATAAAACCCTAGATTTAGGATGTTTTACCTCCGATCGTGGTTTTCCTTATCTCCGATGTAGCGAACGGTCTTGGGTTTGAGTAAGTTTGCTCTATTTTTTCATTTGTTCGAATTATTTTTTTCTTATCTTTTTCTTTGTTTCTCTCTCGGGTTTTTTTACTCCAAATCCCTCCTTGATATTTTCTCTTCGATATCTACTTCATTTTTATCTGCCTTGCATGCCTCATCTCTTGCCGTTGATGGATTGATTGATATATTTGGATTTGTCTTGGGATATCTTTTGTACTTGTTTTTGATTTTTTATGATTTATCTCTGTTTTTTCTGACTTGGATTGGATTTCTCTGGCCGATGGATTTGTTGTCACTGTTGATGACAGCATCGGGCGAGAAATGTTCAACGGGGGCTCGGGAGGTCAACGGCGGTGACTCGCACGGCTCGGGAGTATGACGATGAGGTGCACGCGTCGGCTGGGAGCTGGAAAGCCAAACAACGAAGGTTGATGATATTTTAGGGTTAGGGAACCCTAATCTCTGGTTGCTTATAGATTGTTGGATCTTGATTATATCAAATAGTTGATGATGGGCTGCTGGAAGAGATAGGGTGAAAACCATAATTTACTGGGCTTCGGGTCAGGTCAGCTGAACGAGGCTGGGTCTGGATCCGGGTTGCTGGGCTGGTTCGGGTTTGGCTTGGTGTTGGGTCATCAGAGTCTGTGTCTCCATTGGGCTTGGGTATGTTGTTGGGTTTTGGTGGGTCTTTTTTAATGGGCCTGCACGATATGTAAAATGTAAATTGTTAATGATGAATAATAATAATAATAATAATAATAATAATAATAAATAAATGACATGGACAAAAACGAGTGTCTACAATTAGTTTTAATGTTGATCCTCGAACATTTGTATTCTCTATTTTTTTATATTGCATCTTTTTGTTTTTCTTTAAATTCAATATCTTTGTCTCTATGGTACAGTTTCGTCTATCTTTACGGCACGATCTCTTTGCTTTTTGACACATTTTCGGTCATTTGACCATTTTTTGTTTAATTTTCGTAGGGTTGGATTTGGCAACGCTTCAACTGATCAAGATGATTCTTATTTTTTAATATATTTGATCTTCACTACTTTAGACCATCAGATTGGATTTTGATACGTGGTTTATATTTTGGGATAATTTTCTCACAACGTTTGACTATGATTTACGATTTTCGGTGGTATTTTAATATTTTGATCACTTATTGTGGTTGTTTGCTTCGTATATATTTTATGTTCAAGTTTTTTGGATGAGTTTTACTTTTTTTTCTTTGTATGATTCTTATTAATTTCAAGTGAGTAATTTCTTGTGTTAATAGGGATATGTCTTAATTGTATGTTTATTGTGATACCGAATATTTTCTTTTTTAATAAAATTAACAACTTTTATTTACATAAAAAATGTACTTCCTGTTGTTTGAGTGTTAATTCACAATGTAAACACTCGTTTATGTCCAATTTTTATCCCAAATTTTACCTCTTATACGTAATATTAAATTAAATATTTTTATGTGATAATGCTTTTAGTTGTTATTAAGTTCTAATTGGGTTTTAGTATTAAATAGTGTTTTGAAGTATAGGCTATTATTATTAAATATATAACTTTCGGTTAGTATTTATAAATTTAATTATAATTATGTAGTTATTAAAATATTAAGATATGATAATAAAAAACACTAATATATTTTTTATTATGTGCAGGTCCAAGTTTTAAATTTAACATGTTACAAAGCCAAACAACCCAAGCAAATTAGACTGACCCAATTCTCTTAAACCCAACATATAGGCCCAAGTAGAGATCCTATGTTGATAAGGGTTTCGTCTGTTCTCTCAAGCGTCGCCTTCACCAGTTGTTGGATCTAACCAGAATCCAACGGTCCAGATCTTCCGATATTAGAGTTTTCTAACAAGGTTGATGTTGTTTCAGTCACCGCCAGAGCTTTCACGCGTCTACTCGGATTCTCGCCACCGCCATATCGAGCCAATGTCGTCGTCGTTGAGTCGATTAAATATTATCCCAAAAAATCAAGACATTAATTATCTCATTTAATGTGCCCAACTACCCTCTGCCAGCGAACCTCTATTGGCTTCGTCGCCAGCCTTGTTTCCACTGATCGAGGAAACCCGCCCTTTTGACCCGTCCATAGAAGAGATCAGGGCTTCCATAAAAGAGGAAGCTCCTCCTGAAACAAAGCACAAGTCTTTTAGGAAAAAGAAAAGAAAAAGTCAACAGCCACTACAAACAAACAAAAAACACAGAAAGATTCCAACATTAGCAACCTAAACCGAAACAAAAGTAGGAGGAAAAAAAACCCTCACCTTTCATTTTTAAACTTTCAATCGTAAATCCCTCCGGTTAAAACCTTCATCGGGGAGCAAGGACTAAATAGCTCGACTATGGCTTCATCGGATGACGGGCTTGACAGCAACGGGAGGTAGACTCTTCAACTTCCCTTATTCTATCTAGGGTTTTGAGTATGTTTTTAGGTGAAAATGACCACTACCAACTCCGATAAACGACAACCGATTGGACTTTCTTCAATCCATGGGTGAAAGAGACTTTAGGAATTATACTTTGGATAAGAAGAGGGATGAGTTTAAAATGAAAATAAGGTCTCATTTTATTCTCAAGTTTATATATATATATATATATATATATATATATATATATATATATACATGTCTGAAGAACCATACGGTGCCGTTCCAGGAGTTGAAAACCAGATGTTTAGCGCTTGGGTAAATCTCACGTAGAGGTTCTCTCCATTTGTATCATATTAATTATAGTCACCAAATGAAGTTTATATTTTTTATGTTTCGAGCATTTAATTTGTTCACCCTTGTATTTTAGTTCATCTTGTAATTTTTTCATATATACGTGCTATGCTATATATTTATATGTTTTATTTGCCCCTTTATAGCGTTTTAATGCGTGGGCCGTAGTATATTTTTTAATGCGTGCGCTTTAATAGTACGGAGAGGTTTTGTGGTTGTTTTTGTTTATTTTTTTTTGGTTGGATTTGTATTTATCATGATTGATTAATATGATGTTTATTTGTTATCATGATGATTTTTGTTGTTTTGGATCATCGGATTGATTTGGATCCGAGTTTTACGTTCGTAGATAGTTTTTTCACGTTGCTTGATTCTGATTTGCGATTTGTCGGTTGACTTCAGTAGTTTCATCCCCTTTTGTAGTTCGTTTCTAGATGCAGTAGATTTGTTCGTATTTTTATTTTGTTCTAACTTTTTGATTAAGTTTTTTTTAATCTTTTCCTCATTTGACCATTGTGTGAATTTGGCAGTTAGTTTTTGTATCAATGGTTATAGGAAAATATTTTAATTATACTTTTGTTTACGTTTACATTATACTTGTAAATCTTTATTGTAATTCTGATTATTTTATATTTTTAATAGATCTAGTCGTTTTCTATAAAAAAAATTGTTTCTTTACCATGTATATTTAAATCTTTTTGCATTTTAGCATCTATTTACTGCTTACATTATGATATATGTGCCCTTTTGGCTAAATTTTTTAGATAATGCGTTTGAATTTTTATTAGCTCGAATAATGTTTTGCATGAGATTATTTTCTCAAATAGTGTAACCCCTACAATATTGAGGGTGACACATTAGAGTTCATGCGACACGTGCAATTACGCATGGATCACCATGCGTTTCTGTTGAGTTAATCGATTGACGGATTTGGCCAAGAGGGGGTGAATTGGCAATTAAAAATTTGGTGGAAGCTTTTGCAGAAAATTGAAAGTAATTGCACATCGATTTAGAGTGGTTCGACTTTCTCATCAAAGTCTACGTCCACTACCTTAGCTATCCACACTAAGAATTTTCCAACAAATTCACTAATTTGTTCTTTCTTTTGAGGCCAAAGAGATAACCTTACAACACCCTCAAGAATATACCCCAATTCTTGAGAACACTCTTTCCCAAAGAGAAGATTACAAATTTGCAAACTTACAAGGAAAACCTCACAAGGTAAGATGTTTGCACAATTCTAGAACAAGAAAAGAACACTCAAAGATAATTACAAATGAGCACAAATGGTGTTCTTGAAAGCAAAATGAATATTGAAAGGAAAATTGGCTTGATTTGCACAAACTTGGTGTTTGATGCTTTCTCTCTTGTTTCTCTATAATTTCTTGTTGATCAAGGGCTTCAGAACTTGTTTAAATACACCTTGAATCACTTCTGAACGTTGGGGATAATTAATGAAGATAATATAGCCGTTTAAGTGTGAAAACATTTAATAAAAATGCTTGGAGCGTGGGGGGAATCGGTTCCCCCTCATAGGGAATCGGTTCCCTAAGTGTAAAATTCAAATATTTCGACCGTTGAACAGGGGGGAATCGGTACTCCCTATGGGGGAATCGGTTCCCTACGAGCATTCTAGAAATCTCAGAGCCAAACCATTCAGGGGGAATCGGTACCCCCTTGGGGGGGATCGGTTCCCTCTGAGCAATCTGGAATTTTTGACTTTGAAATGGTTCGAAATACTTTGAAAGATTATTTTGAAATTGTTTTAAGATTAAAACTTAATTTTACACTTCAGTAAGGATTAAAAATGATTTTTGAAATATTTGGAGTAATGTTTTGATATTCGAATAATTATATTGAATATACTTAGAAAATCATTTTGGAAAATCTTAAAATTCATTTAACTTAATTTGTTATATCGAAATATCAAAATGTTTTCAACAATCTCCCCCTTTTTGATATAACAAAACATTTTAGTAATTTTAAGATTTTGAAATCAAGTTTTGAAATTACTCCCCCTTACTTTAACACTTCTCCCATTTATCATTTTAAAACACACTTAAAACACACACTTCTCCCCCTTTTTGTTAAATCAAAAAGATTCAAAGAAACGTGAAAAACATTTAGCCAATTGATTAGGTATGTGTATGCATAAGCTGCTAAGATCACAATCAAGAGAAATGTTAGCCATTAGTTCCATAATCAATATTCATAAACAATGTGATATGGTAAAATTGGTCATATTGCTAATAATGATGTAAATGATGTAATAATGAATAAATCACACCAAACATATAAGTTCACACCATCCATAAATCCAAACAAATTCACAATCCACAAATTCAAACATTCCAAAATATTCAAAATGTTAAAACAATAAGTTTGGAGTTCAAAGTAAAACATTTAATCAAATATCCGGATCAGGAGGAGGAAAACGAGCTCGCATAGCGGCCATTTCGTTAGTGAGGTCATTAATACGTGCGTTGGTTGCTTCATTATTTGCACGCATTTCCCGAAGAATTTCTAATTGTTGAGTTCCCATTGTGGATAAATGAGACTCTATAGAATTAAAGCGCGAATCCATGGTCGCATATCGGTAATCAAATGTCTCCATAAAAGATTGAAAATATGAAGGCATTTGAGTCGATTGTTGTGCTTGCTCTTCGGGCTGCTCCTCGGGCTGCTCAGGTTCATCTTCAGCTTCATCGATGTCTCGCATTAATTGCTCAAGCTCGAGATCTTCGTCAGCTTCGGGTGGAGCTTGTGAAGAACTAGCTCCCGTAGTAGTTGCAGAAGATCGAACCCATTCACCGGATTCTTTATTTTTGACCCATCCCGCTCTTGTTAAAGAAAGAAGATTGATTTGTTTCTTAAGAGGAAAACGGCATCTAGACCAACTCGAAGCTCGGCTTTAGAAAAGAGATTACTAAGGATACAACCGTAAACTAGTGAAGAACAGAATTTCTTATTTGGCACTAGGTTAACGGTTTCAACGATCTCAGCAAAGATAATCTCGGAAAGGTTTATTTTTATGTTGTGTTCAAAACAATGCAACCACCAAAGGTCTAAAGCTCTGAGAGTATAATAACGACCCCCGGATGGTCGAAACCACCAAGTGATCATAAGATGAAGAAAAAGCTCATGAAGATCTAGAACACTTGCACTATCATTTCGTTTATATCGTGAGCCTAAAACTTGTTTTTCATTTGATAAACCTTCATTATCCAAGCTTAAGGCATTCGCTATGTAAGCCGGATCAAGATGGAAATATTGACCTAGGAGGTAGGAACGTACTCCTATGGTTTTGGTTTTGTCACGATTTTTGATACAAACGACATTACAATAGAAGATACGAACAAGTTGATGATAGACAACGGGTTCAAGTTCGAAAAGTTTATCAAATTTCCATTCGTGCAAGATAGGGAGATATTTAAAGTTAATAGCAACCATAGCTTGAAGAGATGGGATACGTTCTTCCCTAATCTTATACGAGTCAAAATATTGGTAAAACCAACAACGATAATCTTTAGGACCCGGTTGATTGAAACAAGAATTTTGGATAGTCAAGTTTGGAATAGGATTTTAAGGAATAGGAGGAGGATTTGGTTGATGACTAGAACGACTAGATGAAGACCTAGCATGTTTAGGATTAGACATGGTGAAGGAAATCGGAATAGATTGGATAACCTGCAATTTTAAAAACAAATGTATACAATTCAATTAATCCCAAAACTCAATTGAGTCCTCAATATTTCAAGGTTCTCTAAATCAATCCTAATGGGCAAAGTTTTTGAAAAACTTTTGAAAAATATGGTTTTGAGAAACAATATATGTATAGTTTTCATAACAACAACATAATCTAATCAAAACACAATAATTTGAAAAACAACAAAAAAAATTTAATTTCAAAAATTTAAATTTTTGGAAAATTCTTGTGTTTTTTATGAAATTAGTTGTAACATCTAGTTTCTAATCACTAAGCAATCAATGCCCGATCACTATTTTGAAATTGTTTTAAGATTAAAACTTAATTTTACACTTAAGTAAGGATTAAAAATGATTTTTGAAATATTTGGAGTAATGTTTTGATATTCGAATAATTATATTGAATATACTTAGAAAATCATTTTGGAAAATCTTAAAATTCATTTAACTTAATTTGTTATATCGAAATATCAAAATGTTTTCAACAGTTTCCCATCCACTTTAATTTGATGCAATTTGCATCTTAATTTCAAAGCTTTATAATGAATATTTTACCCATGTAATATTGCACCTTAATTTCAAAGCTTTTTCAATGAATTTCAATTATACAATCACGAATCGAACCATGTCCTACTTATTAGGTACAATTATTGTAACACCCTTAACCCGTATCGGATTTGGATACGAATGATGTCATATCGACTTTTCAAATCCTTTACTTTTACAAAATACTAAAAATTTAATTTCACATTTAAAAATAAAATCCAAAAAAATTGTATTAAATTAAAACAATTGGTTTTACAAAAACATATCAGAGCGTATTTGATTCAAATCTTTAAATTTTATACCAACTACTTTAATTAAACAAAATAACATACTATATACATTGTTTCCGATCTGATCTTCTTGTATGGGTATGATGTCTTGTCTAATCTTAGCTTTGCTCTTCCTGCTTCTCTATACCTGCGTGTGAAACACTCACACGCTAAGTCGATGACTTAGTGAGGCATAAAACGTATAAATGACATATTGGTACATATAACTACCTACTTTAGCAACATACAGACACATCATATATTTAATCAAACATAACATATAACTAT